AGAATGCACACCTGTAGTCCTTTGTCCAGCAATTACTTAAATTATATTAATTAAAACTTGATTTTTATTACTACTTACAACTATTGAATAAAGAAGGCTTATTAGAAAATTTAGAGAATGAAAGTAAGGGATAGAAAGGAGGGTACCCAAAACTTGATGAGGTATGCTGCTTGTATACGATTGTGGATGAGACCTCTTGTTGGATTGGTGACTAACTTCGCTTTTGTCGCTCTCCAAAATAACAGTTCAAAGAGCCAATGCATCTTGTTCCTCACAATATATTCCTTTTTATTTCTCAGTTCCAAGGTTCTCGTCTCTACCATACAATGCTAAACGTACTGGGGAGACTCCATTTCGCTCTCTCCTCTTTGGGTTTCTGCCTCATGTTCACCCCCTTCCCCTCAGGGCTGCATTCCAATTCTTTGTTTCTGGAGTTAGTCATCCATATACCAAAGCAAAAGGTAAAATGAAAACATTCCAGGAAGGGTAGACAAATAGGACAGAAAGAGGGGAAGCGGAGAATATACAATATAAAATAATACAATTACAGTAGAGCGTCGATTTTCCGAAAGTCAATCTTTCGAAAGAATTCCAGTCGGCAAATTTAAATTTTCGCCAGTGCTGTGGCACTTCAATCTTTGGCTATGTCTTGGGCTACTCAAATATTTTACGTTTTTGATACTAAATTAACTTCTGAAGTATAATTTTTTATTGTTTTTATATTTTTCAATATATTTATTTTGTTTGTACAAAATAAAAAATTAATTTTTAACGATACAATAGTCTTCGTTAGGCTTAACATCGACAAAAATTCAACGCGAAGCAACACGCAACGGAGAAAAATTTTGACATCGGATACGTTAAACTATTTTTCATACGTAAATCAGTTATCCGAAATATCAGTTATCCGGACAACCCCAGTTCCCAATTGATTCGAAAAATCGACGCTCTACTGTATATACAAAATATACAATTTAAATATGGCGTGTAGCCACACACCTAATTACTTATCAACCATTAATTCTAAATGAAATAAAATAAAATAAATGAACATATCAATTAGATTATTCACTGAAATAAAAGAAACTAATATGAAGTAAGATAAACAACATGTACATTATCAGACATTTCTTTATTTAATAATGAAATTATAAACACTGATAGAAGAATCTGTAATGTAATGTTCTCTAAACTGCACAAACTTATTAGAATGAAACAAAACAACTACCGTATTACATTGAACTACTTTTCTGCGATTATATTTAATTAATTACTAAATAATTTGTCACTGGAGGGAGGCATTAGGTGCCATCTCTTATTAAATTTAATAATTATAATTAAAATAAATAATTAAGAGTATTCTAGAAGAAGAAAATTAGCCTGGAGTGGGACTCACACCTGCAATTCCCGCTTACCATGCAGATGCATCGAAAGTTATGCTACCTCCAGTCTAATCTCATCTTCTAGACATATTTAAATATGATAGCATCATAAGTAACTGAAGATGGTTATAACTCAGTTTGTTTCTTCTTGTTGATAAATATTTATTTGCTCTTACACTGATGTTTTCAGCCTAATGCATTGGCCATCCTCACTCAAATGACTGATTTTTAGAACATCAATTACAAAATGTTCTAAAACAGAATACATAAATATAGAATATATTATTATAAGTATAAATTATTATTTGATAAATAAAACAGAAATGAAGTGAAATGATAAAAAAAATTTTGTTGTTTGTCAGCTATTTGTTTTTTTGAAAACTTAATATAGTTGAGTAATGTCCATCTCAAACAATCTATTTTTCTGTTTTACTTATTTTATAATTATATCTGCATTGAACTACTAACAGAAATGAAGTGAAAGAAATGAGAAAAAAAAAAAGGAATATTTGAGATAAAATTTTTAATCTGGATACTAAACTATAAGATAATAACGTACGGTCCACAAAAAAACCTTTCTCAGTGTTGTTAGTTAGATAGATCTCAGTATCCACTCACTAATGTTAGTGGATATTGAGATCTATCTAACTTACTAGTGGATATTGTAACGAACACAACACTGATAAAGGTTTTTTTTTGCGGACAGTTATTACTCAACATAGTGTTACAGTTAGAAGACGTTTGTGTAATAATGTACTTCAGAGATGCAGATATGACGGTTTTATTTCCATTTCAACAATTCTTTTGCACTGCATGTGCTATTCATAGGTTACCCACATGAAAGTATGCTAATTTCATTATCTAATTAATATCATATCTATAGCTTGTAAATAATCCAGTTGTTTAGGTCTTTGGTTGCGTGGGTGTCAGCCGCCTGGGTCGGAGGAAAATTTCGCTGCCCCCTTATTTAGGTATCTCAATTTAAAAGACTAAAATTCAGTTTTGTCACAGAATAAGTAATGAAAAATTCTGTGCTCATTTCAATCGGAACAAATCGTAGGTGCGACAAAAATATGAAATGAAGTGGTTCAAATTTTTACAAGCTATTATTATTATTTATTGTGATTTTTTCCACCCCAACTATGCTATGCCACTGTTTGGTTGAATAGGTTTTAAATATTTATGTTGGATATCGAATTCTTATCTTTCATTTACAATATGCAGTGTCCTAAAAGTTGCCAAACATAGGGAAATGCAAATAATATCATAAATTGTTAGCATATATTTACAAAATACTAATATAGAGAGTATTTTGTAAATAAAGGTATGTTTTGCTGAAATTATTCATTTTCCCCGTAAACGGTGACTTTTGGGATATCCTGTATATTGGAAGCAGTCAGACATGTATTATATTAGTTTGTTTGGAAAGTTCATAACGATTTTTAAGAGAAATAAAAGAAACTATTTTAAAACTAAAAATATACTTTTATTCTATTACTTATGTGCTGTTGTTTTTAATGACATGTTGCCATCTGCAGGAGCTTCATGATACTTCATAGAACTCCCCATGAAAAACTGTTCCACATGATTTTTGCAAGCTTCCAAAATATTAAAGTTTTTATAAAATAGGGAATTCTGCAGAGAATGGAAAAATGGTAGTCCAACAGTATAATAGCTAATATGAAAATTAAATTTAATAATAAAGAGTAATATATTTTAACATATCATATACTACTGTATTGTAATGTTTTAATTTTAAAAATTTTGTTTAATAAGATATACTGAAATATATTCATGTGCTTAGCTGCTGCTGCTATGTCATTTCCAAAATCTGGAATTGAAGATTTATATTGAAAAGTATTATTTTAAGAATTCTATTTACTTATGTAATTTGGTTTAGTACAGTAATCAATCTTAGCTTTTCAATTGCGGATTGCCAACATCTAAACTGTACACAACTTTTTGATAATGATCTCAATTTATAAGATGTCTGTAGCTATTAAATTGGTATTCAAAAATCTCTATAATCCACAGATAAAAACATTATCTGATATTTTTTACAAATGAATGTTTACTTTACTATCAACAGGATTAGTTTTCTACACTTATGTTTAGAATGCTTGAGTCAGTTATAAAGCTCTTTCTAATCATCATCAATGTGAAATTTATTTGTGTGCTTTAAGAGTTTATAGTTAGTAGATATGAGGACTTATTTAGTAGTAGAATTATTTAGTTAGTAGAATTGAAGGCACTCCATTATATTAGTATAATGGAGTGCCTTCAATTCTGTTAGTCTGTGCATTATGGAATGGGAGAGTGATGGAAGTAAAACATGAGAGAGAGCAAAGCAGGATCAGCTTTTAAAAGAATTTGTTTTAAACTGTATGATAATACGAGATGGCTCTTCTATGATGACTGAATATATAAAATAGATTAGAAAAAGAATATGTGAAAATAAATATAATGATGATGGGAATAAATTGAAATGATGATAATAAATGTAAAGAAAGCAGCAATAATTAAATGATAAAAATTACAATATAATGGCATAGTTAGCAACAAGTGCTATTTGCCTAGCACTGTTGTACCACCGTGATGTAATCATAGAAAGCATCATTGTACTTTGCTTAAAAAGTTATTTGCATGTCTATTGAATGACATCTTATTTCAAATTTTTCTTCTTTTCTTTAATTTTTTTGTTGTTAAATAATTACCAAATTGCATATTATGTTTAGTCCTAAAAAACAGGTCATTAGCTTCAATAGCAATATATTTAAAAAAAATTTTTTGTAAAGTAACTATATAAAATAAATTTTCTTTTCAAACCAAGTTTTATATACTGTAAGAAGCAAACAAGTTTTATTCAAAAATATGAAATTTTTGAAACATTTCACTGTACGAAAATTTAAAAAAAGCTTTTTTTTTTTTACCTTATCCAATTTGTTATTTTGAAATTACACTCATTGTTCAAATTATGTTAGAAATTTCTTGTAAATCAAATTTTACACTTATGCATATTTGAATTCTGTACTCTTGATGACATGTTAGATAATCATGTACTTTTGTTTGTTACACTATTGTGTAATTCATTAAATATATATTTTTGATTGGTTGATCATTGTTTCTGAAAATTATATTACATTTATTATTAATCTTCAAAATTAAACATTATACTGTATGAATAATTTTGTAACATATTCAAAAAATATTTATAGAATATTATCCTTTTTAATTTTAATACTAAGTTTCCAACTTTCTATATTTGTATTTATATAATAATTTTATTTACAAGTATTCTAGTAAACAGAATGTACTCCCAATATTTAAACATAATTTTTTTTAACTCTGTTTGCCCTGTGGACACTAAGAGGACTTTTTCTTAGTAAGCCCTGTATGGGTTTAGCCAGACTCAAAATGGGGTGGTCAGGTAGTGAGGGACAGGGTTCAACATATCCAGATGGACCACTCCCTGAAAAATTACTGGGATTTTTTGACCCATTTAGATTCGATTCCAGCTCTCCAGTGTGGTAGGCTGCCAATCTAACTACTTGGCCATCTGGGTGACATTTAGACATAATCAATATATATATATATATAAACTACCTTTTATTTTTTCAGCTGCAAAATTTAGCTTTTGGTGTTACAAAAACTCCAAAGTCAAAGTCAGCAAATCAATCAAAACAGAACCAGGCACAGTCTACAAGTGGAAATCAATGGGAAGAATGGAAAAAACAAGATGCCAAAGTATGATTTATTATAAATAATTTTAGGTTTTAGCAATTTTTTCTTATTTTTATATAATCTTATTTTTGAATTTTTGTAATAACAGTATGTTTCTGATGCATATGAACAAGATCTTCAACAAGCAATTCTACTGAGTAAAATTGATTTTGAGGAAAAGAAAGATGTAAAATATTAAAATTATTAAAAAGAGTATTTATAAAAGGAAGTCTTAAATAACTTAACATCAGTTTTTTTTATTCTTAGTTTTATAATTCAGTACAAAAAGAAAATGAAACAAGTAAATCTAGTAGTTCAAATCAAAAGAAGAAAAATAAGGGAAATCAAAAGAAAGATAAGACAATGACATTGAAGGACTTTCAAAATTCATCAAGTGAAAGTAATTCAAGTGCAGCAAATGGTAATTATGTTAGTTCTGTCTTCTTTTTCCCTTAGTTTTCTAAACTGGAGGACAAGATGCTGTATATATTTCCCATAACGATTCTTGTCATTATAAAACTTATTCATTAAAGAAATAATACAAAATAAATCCTATTGATGGATGGTTGAAGTGGTAAAGAATTTGCTCTCATTTTGAAGACCTATATTCAAATCTGAGTTAGATTATCAGGAATTTTTCATAGATGATCTGGTACAGATATATCAGATATATATATATCAGGAATTTTTCATAGATGATCTGGTACAGATATATCAGATATATATATACTCTATCTGTAATTACCTATTGTCGTGTGATGAAACTTAAATGCTATAATCAAAGGATTGTAGAAAATGTATATATAAAATGCAGAATTTGGAATTAAATATATTTAATAAATTGTTTCGTTAAAACACTTTAGCTTCTTTGATTGAAATTTCAATTACTATGAAAGTGATCTGGACAAATAAGTTAAATAACATCAAAACTAGGGATCTAGTTTGTTGCATTAATTTCCAAAATAATGACTGCAGAAAAGTGAAGGATATCATTAAGTCAGAGAATTTATTGGATACGAAACTATGATCAGTAGTAACTATCTAGGATAGAATAAGGAAATAGTAATTATTCAAAAATAGATAATACCTTTTAATATTTAATTTTTCAGAAAATATAAAAGATTGAAATTTTTAATATCAACAAAATTACATTTGTACTTGGTACCATATTTAAAATAATAAGAAAAATACTGTATTCAGGAAACCAAAGCAAATATTTTTAATCAGAAACATTTTTGTTCTTTTAAAAGTGTTTATACTTATTACAGTAAAGTTCCAGATAACTTTTACAAGGTAGACTGTGAAAGAATACTTTGTTAACAAAGACAAGAGAAGTTATTTTCATGAATCTTGGCTGAGAAATGCATAATACTTGAAAGGACTGTAGAAGTTAATTCAGGTAGACCATTAGCAAAGCATCTTCTATCTGGCTTACAGAATTTGTTCATTCTCAAAATTTGATCAATCAATTTTGATTGAACTTTGATATTTTCTATTAATTGTGATGAGGAATCCAAAAATGTAATTAAAAAATATGGGTGTATGATGTCTTTGTCTAAGACAATGTTTTCCAAAGTGGTTCCTAAGGATCTCTGGAGTCCTTAGAGCCACTGATGGGGTCCATGGCAAATTAAAATTAATTTGTGGGTGTGTGGACAATGCCAGGGGGTCAATCAAAGGTTTAATAAAAAGTATAAATGATTGTGACTCATTTCCATTATTATGAAAGTTAAAAATAAATAGTAATAAATAAATTGGTAGTCATTTTTACATCTTGACATAAATGTTTGTTCTGTGATTAAAGTTATTGCTGGAAAAGTATAAATGGCACATTTTTGTTTTTTCATTTTATCATCAATCTCGGGTTATTTATCCAAAAAAATTGTTAATTAAAAATTCTTATATTATCAAAAACGATATCAAAAACAATATTAAAAATAGAAAATAATCTGTTAATTGTGGTTTACTTAAAATTTACACATTAAGTACTTAATAGTTATTTTTATGACATAAGTAGGCCTTTATGACATATGTAATTTTTAATTTTAACTTTTAATTTTTAATATTAAACATGATCAACAACACATTAACACCCTATCTAGAACTTGTTACCAGTGTGTTACACATCAAAATAGAATGTGATATTTCTATCATGTTCTATTTTGATATGTTCCATTGATATTTCACCTTAAGAACTATTTAACAGTACAAAAATGTTAGTGATAAACTGTATTATTGACAAAACACACTGGTAACAGGTTCTAGATAGGGTGTTAATAACTATATTAAATTTAAATATAGAACAAAATGCTTTTTAATTAAAATATATAGTTCATTTTATACAATTTTATTTTTATAATTATCTATAATTTTTAATATATGAATCATTTTATAATTCTAATTATTAAAACTATTTAATGACTAAAAAGAAATAAAAAACTTATAAATTCAATAATTAAAACCAATAGGATCGGTATATATTCAATAATCACTGAAAATAAAAATTATCTTCAGTTAAAACCAAGTAAAAAAGTATACTCTATCTACTTCCAACTTCAAGGATTTTACATTTTTTTCTTTTTACTATATTATACCAGTTTATCAAAAATAGGCAAGCTTTAGCCAGTAATTTCAATAAATATTACTTTAAATATCAAAATGTTTTATTTTTCACATTACCATTCAAGACATTAAAGTTAAATTTGTAATTTTGCTATTATGTAGTTGTGTAGTTATTTCACTAGAGGTTCACCGTCAGGTTGTTGCTATGAGAAGGGGTTCATGGGCATAAGTTTGGGAACTATTGGTCTAAGAGATACAGTGGAGTCAAAGTGACAAAGTTTGTGCTCCCTGATACAATTAAGTGTGACTAATGGAATTAATGGGGTAAAAATAAAATGACAACATTGCACATGTCCTAACAAAAATCGTTGCCAAAAACAAACAAAATACAATGCTGAGTGAATGTAAGGATTGACTCTTCTGTGCCCAGCAGGTGCAATGATTGCCTCTTCATGGCTGACAAGGGTAAGGATTGCCTTTGCCTTTGGCCGGCAACTGTTTTCTGATCTCATACACACTTTCACTCACACATCTGTACACATACATATGCCCTTACATAAACATTTATTCTCATGTCAGTGATTGGAATTAGATGGAGTGAAAGATAATTTATATGTACTAAAACTAATTTAAAAATTTTTAATTACAAACATGCAATGCTTAGCCTGATAGGACAAAGTTGCATGATGACCATAATAAGAATTTATTTTACTTTCTCACAACAAATTTCAGAAAAGTTTAAAGACATTTTACTTGTAATTTACTGTACATTTCCATTTGTTTTAATAAATATAGTTGTAAATAAAATTAAAAGTATTTTCTATAATTTAAGTCATTATATTCAACAAGTAGCCTAACATAAAAATTGTATGCAGCAATGCATCTGTAAATTTAATTTATTTAATAAATATAGTTGTAAATAAAATTAAATGTTTTTAGTGTATCGTAAAGAACACTAAAAACATTTAATTTTATTTACAAGTATTCTAGTAAACAGAATGTACTCCCAATATTTAAACATAATTTTTTTTAACTCTGTTTGCCCTGTGGACACTAAGAGGACTTTTTCTTAGTAAGCCCTGTATGGGTTTAGCCAGACTCAAAATGGGGTGGTCAGGTAGTGAGGGACAGGGTTCAACATATCCAGATGGACCACTCCCTGAAAAATTACTGGGATTTTTTGACCCATTTAGATTCGATTCCAGCTCTCCAGTGTGGTAGGCTGCCAATCTAACNTCATTTTCTATTTACTTCTACTTTTAGATATTAATTAATAGAAGCATAAATTTAACAAAGTAATTTAAAGTTATTAAATTATTGTTTCAGCAACCTAATAGTGCTGTTTCCCAAAATTATCACAAATTCTGTGTGTTATATGTTTCTGTTTATTATAGTACTTCAGGAGTTTTTTTTTTTTTTTATTCTTTTTAAGTATCTTTAACAAAATGCATTTCAGACTCATATCATCCCTCTTCAGTTGTTATACAGTTGTTACATATTAAACTGTACAAAACAAAAGATACAAATAAATTCCAGATTTTAATAACACAAACTAAGACATTAAAATATAAACAATACGATGAACTTGCATTTGGTGTACAAACCAAATTGTTAAATACACATTTGTCTTTCAAATCTTCAAATGCATTATTAAAAACAACAAGACACATAAGATAAACACACATTTAAAATATAAATAAAACACAAAGTGAAGAACTTTTACCTCACTTTTACAGGGTTCTTAAACATTATTGTAGATCCCTTTGCTGGCAAAAAATCACTACTAAGTAGGGTGTAATTGCATACCATCATTATTATTAATTTTTATTTCTAAATTTAATTTTATTATTTTAAAATGTTCAATAATTTTCTTTTTAAATGTATTAGACACCCTTTTAATTATTTTTAATGCAATTTTTTGAATTTCACAAACGTGGCTATTACAGTGCTGAAGTGTAATTATTATTTTTAATTGCAGTGATATGCTCTTTAAATACTCTTCCAATAGAGAACTAGGAACAAGATGGTATGCAATTAAAGAGGGATGATATGAGTGAAATGCATTTTGTTAAAGATACTCAAAAAGAATAAATAAAAAAGTTTTATAACATACAGAAGTTGTCGTGATAATTTTGGAAAAATACAGAACTATTAGGTTGCTGAAATAATAATTTAAAACAAATCCAAACAATGAAGCTAAATGAAGAATAAGAATTTATTTCTATTGGTCAGATTTCTTATATTTATATGCAAGATATAGAATATAATTTGTATCTACAAATATAAATATTATTTTTTGAATAAATAATAATAAAATTTATTATATATTAATTAGCAAATGCCATCCAAGATAAAAATCCTCCAAATTCAGATGAAAGCAAATTCTTCGACAAGATTGAGGAAGATGCTGAAGAAATTATTCATAAAGAATATCGAAAGGATGCTTATCAGAGAATAGAAGTAAAACGAAATTTTAATTTTAATGAAAGAAAATTGTTATAAAACAACTTTTAATCAATTAAAAATTTTAATTCATTTCTTTCTCATTTGTAAATGAAGGCTTATAGAGATGATCATGTTCGAAATATACAATATCAAGATGAACTAGAGAAAAAAGACCAAGAGATTGCAAAATTATCAGAAGAGGTAGATAGGTTGAAGGTAATATTCTGTGTTAACTATATTGACTCTTCCATTTAAAAATTTACTTTTTAGGTTTAAAAAATGTTTCTTGGATTTAGTTAGAAATGAAAGCAGTGAAAGAAAGAAATAAAAAAATGTTAAAAGTGCTGCTTGAAGCAGAAAGTAAGTTTTTAAATATTATTTATGATAAATTATAATATTTTCTAACATTATTTATTTTTTTCATAGTGCATGAGAAAGCAGAAATTATTATAAAAGTAGAACAAATAACTAAAGTAAAGGATGAATTAACTGAACAGGTACAGATGCATGGGATTTTTTTAAAATTACTCTTAATTTTTAAATTTTATTTTTCAAATTTTAAAAAATTTACAATTGTTTTTAATTACCTTTCTAGGTTTCACTATTACATACTGCTTTAGAACAAGAAAGATCAAAAGTTCATGCATTAACAACAGAATTAAAAAAATTTCAAGTAAGTATAATATTTTAAAAACAAAAGATGGAAAAATTTAAACTATTACAGAATAACTTTTATTTTTCACAGAATAAAAAGAAGGATACCAAACAATAAAATGTACAAATTCTTCATGGTTTTATTACTCTCTCTCATCTGGCCAATTTTTTACAAAAGGGAGTGAATTCATATCAGCGAGGTCTTTCATACCAATGCCTATTGTGTAATCTTATGCAAATGAACAACATATATTCAATTTAACTGACTTAGGAGGTAATTTATATCAAAAGTATTATGCAAAGTACAAAAGGGACATCATCTGAATTATGGGACTAATATATATATATATATAAATATATTTTCTGTTTCTTCAAAAAATTTTTGGTTGAAGTATCAATATTTTCTTCTTGCTTTTGCAAGTTATACATTAATTGAATACAAGTAATTGTATGGAGCATTCCTTCTATTTTTACACTCAACTTTCATATGTAAAATTTTTTGATTTGCAATACTTTTGCTTATGTTTGCTATTAGATATGCAATAAAACATATAAATAATATATATATATATATACATATACATGTATATGTATGTATATATGCTTTTACTTTAGTTAAACATCTCATATAGAGAAATGTGAAATAAAAGTGTTCACAAATTTTTATATTTTGGTTAGTATTATTATTAATTATATAGAAAAGTTCACTACAAAACATATTAACATAAGAGATACAGAAAATTAATTTTTTTAATACGTACCAGAATTAATATTATAAATGTTCATAGAACAAAATACATATTTTTATAAGGTGATATTATTATGAAGGGCATAATTTTAATTTTATTTTTAAATTTAAGTTTTTTGTTTGTTGAAGAAATACAATATACAAGTAAAACAAAATAATGTTAAGCTCTTGAATAATATCAATTGATATAAAGCATAATATAATAAGAGCACATTAAAAAGGAACTTGTGAAATTAAAAGATTAGTAATTTGTATTAAAGTTATGCAGAGTGTCCCACATAAAACTAGTTGTGCTTGCTTATTGATTGAATTATTGTAATCTTCATACTGGAAAAGGGAAGAAATGAGATAAAATAAGATTAAATAATGAAACTCTGATCACTTAGTTTTATTCACAAAATGTTATGAAAACTTGCATAATCAACACTGCATCATTTAAGTTTTCTTCGATTGGTAAGTGAAGCTGTAGATACAAACAAGTTTCAAATTAATTCCAAGTTTTCTTTCATAATTTTTACGAATTTTTTATGAATTTCAAACTGAAACTTGAATTTTAAAATTAAATGCTGAAATGTAGTATACAACAATATGATTTATTTCTGTAGTTAACTTCAACAATAATAACCTTTTTTTAGTTAAATTATTTTATCTAAAGAATAAATTTCTGACTATCCTTAAAATTAAGCTGATTAAGCTTATTTGATAATATTTGATAAAAATTTAATCATTATTTATGATATTTTAAAAACATTGTTTTATTTTATTGAAAAATTAATTTAAAATGTAATTATTTTCTTTAAATACTATTTGGTAATAAAAAGAACAATAAGGTAAAATTTTTTTACATACAGAAAAATTATATGGCATCAGTTTATCAAAAACATAACAAAAACAGAAAAAATTTGATAAAAGAATAATTTTTCTGTTTTTGACAATTATGCAGGTGTCTAACTTTTTCAGCTAGTAAGCAAAAAGCTCTGGCATCATCAATGTTGTCTTATTTGCTACATATTGTATAGGTAATGTGTTGGCATTGCAGAAGTATTGAGGTTTTAGATTTTTCAATTAATAATGATGGATGGTTTTTTTATTACCAATCATGTTCATTTTCAATCAAAGAGTTACATGTTCTTAGTTTTTTTTATAACCTCTATGACATGAATTACTGTTGGTCATCATTGTTTTGTCAGGCAGACATTTAAAATGTAGATATGATTTATCTACATTGAAAATGCATCTGTATCATAATTCTATACCATTTCTAGTACACTTCACTTCTGTTTCTGCACTTTCATCACAGATTTTACTGAAAACTATTTCATGCCTCTTAATTCTGATTATAACCTCTTTGGCTTTGCATATAGATGGTGTTAAAACTTTAATGCTTATTCTAGGGAAAAATCTTTTTTTCAAAAATTCTCAGAAACAGAAATAGATAGAAGCAAACAATTTTTTTTTTACATTAGAATCCTATTTAATTCTATTAATATACAATTCAGAATTTTAAAAATTGAAATCATTAATTTTCTGTGAAATTTCTATTTCAAAAATTTACTTTTGACAGACATGCTGGAAATCTGTAATGTAGATTTGTTGTGTCTCATTGATACAATCAATGCATAAAAAATGAATAGGACAAGATAAATTAGTATTCATTATCATAAAGATAGATGTTGATGATAAAGATATAAACGGATTTAAGGAACATAGGTTTAATAGATTAATTAGTTTGTTAATCTAAAATTTACATGTTATGCCCAAGATAAATTCCTTTTGATGCTCTGTGAAGTCATTAGGAAGGAAAGTTATCATAACATCTCATATAATATGTGATAAATAAATGACGTTTTGAAATTATGAAAAGGTAATTGTTATTCTTTTACTCAATTAATATATTCAATTAATCAAACTTCTAACACTAAGTTGTTTTATTTTAGGAAAGTTTGTTTAGATTAAGAAAAAATTATCTCATATTTTGAAAATAAATAGTAACAAGTGTTTTCAATAATAGAGAAATTTCAGATGATATTGATAAGGATTTTGAGAAATGTTTTTTATATTTACAAATAGTAAGACCTCAAATAAATTATATTTTAATTGTTAGAAATGATTTATAATAAAATAATTTTACACAAATAAATTTATTTTGATTAGTATAGAAATATCAGAAAAAAATAATTCTATTTTATAGTAATATTCTTTGTGTTGTTTCTGTTCATTGGTTAGACTCTTCTGGGTTTTCTATATTTTCTGGATTTTCTACACTTATAATTTCTTCACTTGTTTCTGTAGTCACAATTTCCTCAACTTCTGGTTCTTCTGTATTTACAATTTCTTCAATAACTTCTGGTTGTTCTGTAGTTAAAATTTCTTCAATAACTTCTGGTTGATCTGTAGTTACAATTTCTTCAATAACTTCTGGTTCTTCTGTAGTTACAATTTCTTCAATAACTTCTGGTTGTTCTGTAGTTACAATTTCTTCAATAACTTCTGGTTGTTCTGTAGTTGTTTTTATGAACTTATTCCGTTTACATGTGTACACCTTATATCTTAATTTCTGAAAAATAAAAATATTGAGAAATAATTTTAAAAATAATCTGAAACATCTATACAAATATTAAATTAATTTTTAGATGAAATATTATAATATATGTGCATTTAATTTTAAATTAAAGATTTCATATCACCTGCTTTTCCCATCTTTACCGATAGCTGTTTTATCATTAAGACTAAGTCTAAAGAGATTATTTTTGTGTTATCATAGAAGAATTTATTATTATAATTTTTATTATTTTGATGAAATATTATGTGTATTATAGTATGCTTTTATTCCTGCTAAATGATAATTTTTGAGACAAATTCTTGTGTTGTGTGTATATGTATATAGGTACAGTACATGCAGGATTCCTACCCATCTGGAAAGTCAGGAATTTACAGAAAATGTCATGGAAAGTCAGAAAAATTGTCAAAAAGAATGGGAAAAGTCAGAGAATTTGTATTGGCTGTCTTGTAGATTTTGTTTGCTGATAACATGGTCAACCAAGTGTAGCTGTCTGCAGACAGCAAAAAGTAACGTGGTGCAATGCAACTTAAGAGCAGGGATGCAGAATATTTTTAGGACCCAAAATTTCTTCAAAAATTATTGCATATAAAATAAAACCATAATTTATGAACAAATTAATAATTATTACTATATAATTTGAATTACATCATATAAATAATTAAAAGTCCTACCATACAATTGTAATACAACACTAAATTGATAAGTTAACAGAAAAATATTGTAAATTAAAAGAATGCTTTAAGCATGTGTCATCATTATGTGCTTTTACAAATAACACAAGCTGCGTTTGGGTCCTTGTAATTAATACTGGCTTCCTAATGTGCTTACTTCATCAATGGCTGAATGGATAAAATATCGGTAATTAGTTGCAGGTTTACATCTCACCAGTGGGCTGGCCACATGGAATTTTCCAGGTTTTTTTCACCTATCTAACATCTAAATAGGGTTACTTTCCTATAGAAAGTTCTTCTGGTAGGAATTCCTCTTTAGCAGTTTGTCCAATTGTTGCTTTGCCTTTTCTATCACTCTAGCCATCCTGAAAAGCTTAACTGCTCTCCTTATCTGATATTGAAAGTATCATCTGAAAACACTAAAAATTTTTACACAGTGCTGAACAGTAGAAATTTTCATATCCAGGTATTTGAGATAATTCAGATATCAGATTTCTCAACAATGCTCAATCCACAGAATTCTGTAGGTCTGCAAATATGTTTTTAATTTAAACTTTAATGTGTGTTTTAATAGATATGAATATTACAAGAACCTTTTTTTTTAATTTGTATAATATGCTTTATTTTTTCTATAAACGCAAGTATCCTTGAGTTTATAGAAAAAATAAAGGGTCTACTGGAAGATGAAGTTTCAGAAACACTGAGTTAATGCATGCCCTTGAGGTATTTTGTCCTTAAATGCATATAGTTCTTCATGTTGTTCAAAAATTGTTTTAATTTAAGTTTTTTTCTTTCAGTGTAAGTAAGACACACTGTTGATAATAAGAATATTAAAACTAATACAGTAAAATGTTGACATATGTGTGGGAGTGTCTAGTAGAAATGTAAAGTATTCACAAGTGCTTTTTGTCAAGGCTGGATGACGAGCGGTCAAGGTGGCTCCCTACCACTCTGGGGTACCCAGGATCAAATCCTGATGGGTCAAGGAATCTCCAGGATTTTTTTGGGGGGGGTGGTCCATTAGGATTTCTCGGGCCCCTTCCCTCACCACCTGGTCGCCCCATTGTGGGTCTGGTCAAGCCCATAATGGGCCTGCTATAAGAGGCCCTCTTAGTGCCTACAGGGCGGAGAGTGAAAAAAAAGTGCTTTTTATCAACGTTTTTTGTTACTATACCTAAAAATCAAGTTCTTAAGCAGTTCTTTAAACCTTGCACAATCTTATCAAATCAGCTAATTTTTTGAACAAATTTTACATTCAATAAATAAGTTTTATTATACATACCACTTATAAGTTTACATTGCAATGTAAAATTATGTTAAAATCGTTCAAAATCAGATTGTATAAATTGTAATCACATTGTGTATTTTTTAATTTTGCTTAATATTCAGATATTTATTTCTTTTACTGATAGTGCAGATTAATTTTAAAACTAATGTTTGTGTGAAGAATTATTATAAAATGCAACAGTGAAGAGAGCATTCCAAAATGCTGGTTGATTGAACTAAATCACAAACATAACATACCACAATATCCATTGTCATTTTCAGCTTTTAAAACCTCTGTATTAATTATGCAGTATTATGAATTAGAGAGAAAACTCTGTAATACTCTTAATAATCTAATATTGATAAAAAATTTTTGAAATATTTTAACCCTCACTGAACCTCACAATTACCATTTACACACTCAATTTGAGATCAGATACTCATAAAAAAATTATAATTAACAAAACTCATTCAGTAAATAAATAATTGATCACCCAACTACACCTTAAGTTGCTGAGATAATTTATTTAAATGTACACTAATGTTTTCAGCCTTATCTATTGGATGGCCAGATGGTCTATTAAGACCTTGTATATTATATTGTTGCGGGAACAAACGGCAATCAGTCGTTAGGAACACAAAGGTATTTATTAACTCTGACAATGTACAACTCCTGCAGCTTGCAGTAGAACAACAAGAAACTCTCTCAGCCTGAGAGCTGGCTGTTATATCCTACAGAGACATGGTAGAAACACGGTAATTGGTTGGTATTTACATAAATTCGCAGACCGGGAGAAAAAAAAAACTTGCATCAATGACACGATGGGAAGAGCAAGCCACGACAATATATACAAGGTCATTTAATATAATAGGCCATCCTTACAACAAGAAATTTGGGATCAGGATGAAGGAGCACAAATATAATGTCAGATGGCGCAGGCTGAAAGTTCTATAGTAAAATGGGAGGAAACAGCTATTGAAGTCCTTGCACTCCCCAACTTTAACGATGAGTGCAGAAAAAATTGAAATTTATAAGGGCAAGCTACAAGATACGTGCATTAATGCAAGGGACGCAGAAGGTCTTGTCATCTGTGTGGAAATACTTAGTTAAAAAGTTTTTTAAGAACTTCTAACTTATGCCTTAATTTTACATTTTTGGTATTCTGTTTATTTACGATATTACTACATGATATATAATATATCTGATTTTTGTTTTATTGTATATTTATACGTGTAGAGGAGAAGGCCAGTTATGGGCCATTATGGAACCCCATATTCATTTTAGTGAATTGTAAACAAGGTATCATAACTACACCTACATTTTTTGTGCGAAAAGTGCTGGTAACTACTAAACTAAATGTTCCTAATTGGATTTTTCGCTAGTGTAACTATAAGTATGGTTTTTGAAGAATTTTGTACAAAAAGTCAGAAAGTAGGCTTAGAGAAAACCGGGTGGTAATATGAAACCTTACTGTATGTTTTCAAAAAATGCTTTAATGTATCCAAAAACAAATAGGAAAGTACAAAAAATGTTAAATAATTACAAAATCATTTACTCTAATGTATTTTATCGAAAAAATGCTTTTATAATAGAAATATATGACCTCCATCAACAATATATATGTTCCAGCAGCTCTTTTTCGATATTCTCAGGAAGAATTGGCTTTCTACCTAATGTCTTTTTCACAAATTGCTTCGGACAAATGTCTGCTTGCAAATAGAGAGTTCGCAGGAGTTGGGTTCCATATTAAAAGTACCAATGGAATCGCCATCTTGAATTAATTTACGTCTGTCAAGACCAAATTTTAAAAAACGTGAACATCACACAGATTAATATGTACCCCTGTCTCTGGAATGGAATACATGCACCAGTACAACTACACGGTTTATATTTTAAAAATAATTAAATTCACTTAGCATTCAAAACTTTCGAATTTTGAAAAACACAAATTTCCTGATTCATTACGGACAACCGTTTAACTGAAGTGAAATGGGTTTTTTCCTTGCTATGGATGTCTGCCTAGTTCAATTCAGCCACAATCTGCTACAGTTCGAAATGGAATATATATATTAAATTATCTCAGCAACATAAGGTGTAGTTGGGTACATGGGCGTAGCGAGGGGGGAGCCTGGGTGGGCACGGCCCCTCCCAGGGAACCTGGTGCCCTCCCCAGGAAATCACAGCCGAAAAAGTGTTGAGTCGATTTGTAAAAACCTAAAGCTAAAATAAAAGTTTTGAATACTAAAAAAAGGTGAACGGCTTGCTCGATGCCCAATAATGAACAATAATTTGAAATAATTCAATTTTGTGTCAGGTTGGCCTCCACTAGGCCCCCCATAACAAAACTCTGGCTACGCCCATGGTTGGGTGGTCTATTAAAAAGATTATAAATAAGTTTAATTTAAATGTTTAGTTATTATTATTTATTTTAATAACTTTGTGCAATAAAACAATTTCTAATTTTTTCAGTTTATTAATATTTTATAGTTTGGGAAATTTATTAATGGAAAATTTAATAAATAAACAATGTTTTTCTTTTTTCAAAACTACACATTTTTCGGATTTAATATCAGGATAAATAACTTATACATTAGACCCCCTATAACGGGTTCATATAATACGGATTCGTATAACACGGCGAAAAAATTGCGATCGTATTCGTATAAACACGCTAAAAGAGACTCGTATAATACGGTAAAACGTCATCGCCGACTCGTGTCGCGACGGGATTGGTCGAATCTAGACCGATAGCGCACAAACCGTTCAGTTTAAACGAGCACTGAACCTACTAAAAAACATTTATTATTCAACGGCCATAAAAATTATATTTTTACTAATGATATCTCCAAAGTTCAACGGATTTTTTGCAGAAAAATAACTTATCAGAAAACACACTCCTGCCGTTCGATATGTCGCTCTACGACGAAAACAAGCTTAAGCAATGGCGTCGTCGAACAGTGCACACTCGGTAAGTAATCCTACAATTTTTTTGTTTATAGCATAATTTATATGGATTATTCCCAAAAAATTATACGTGTTTTGGAAATGTTGATTCAAATTAGTCTAGAATCGATTAATTTTATGGAAGAAAATCTTTCAAACAGCCTTAGTCCCTAAACTGCACACGTGCCGGGCTGTGATTGGCTCATGCATTTAAGTGACTCGTACAACACGGAATTCATAAAACACGGAACGTATCTACCATGTTATAGGGGTCTACTGTACGTAATAAAACATTTTAATTTTAATAATTCAGTCATTATAAAAAATATATAATTGTTAATCAGAAAAATAAATAATTAGAAAGTTAAAGAAGCAATAAGTAAGTGCGTAGTGAGTCAATTGTGTTTTATTTTGTCAATGTGACATACTGTAAGGGATGTGAGAGTCAGGGAATTTGTGCAAAGTTGGTCAGGGAAAGTCACGAAATTTAAAACAATTACAGTAGAGCCTCGAAAACTCGGCCTGTGGACCGAAGGGTGGCCGAGTTTGTGAAAATGCCGGGTTATCGGGAATGGAGAACAAAAAAAAATAAGTACGAGTGTTTCCTCAGAAAATACTGTACTGTACTTGTATGTATTGTTTGCTTGAGAATACAACAGAGATTAAACTGCCCAAATACCCTTAAACAAAGAAAATGTACTGTACTTGTATGTATTGTTTGCTTGAGAATACAACAGAGAATAAACTGCCCAAATACCCTTAAACAAAGGAAAAGTGCGTACTTTATGAAGGCATAGAGCCTTTACTACATGAAAATGAAAATTAATGAATAAACTGTACAGTAATCTACCTGATAAGAAGACCTCAGAAAAATACTTTATGAGGCATAAAGCTGTCTATAATATTAATTAATTAACTAAGGACCTTTTTGCCCTGCCAGGGTGTGGCCGAGTTATCCGGCGTGCCGGGTCATCGAGAGCCGAGTTTTCGAGGCTCTACTGTTTTTCAGTAAGAACATCTATACACGAATCAATATATTGGCTACTGTATAAATATATGTATGTTTCAGCTGTGCTGTATGTATAACATAAGCTGGAGTTGATCATTGGGCTGCAATTTGAAAAAATTGTAAACATAAATTCCCACTGTCGTCTGTTGTCTGTCCTTTAATCTCGAGAACAGTTAAATGTAGGACAAGACGAGATATGGAAATCTTAGTGGCAGCAGGCCCCGATTTAACTATATACGAACTTCCTGTTTGCATCGATCAGACACGTTATTTCAATTCAAAAATTTTCGACAGAAAGGAGTTAGATAAATGACCGGCAGGACTCTATTGCTAACAGGAAAAGTATGATGTACAGGGACAAGTCACTATTAATTTGAGGAGGAGAGCATATATAGTTTAAATTAAATAAATTAAAAATTGCAGTCCGACATTGTGACGATATCACAATGAATAATTGCTTGTTTTATTATAAAACATCTGAAAATTAATACTTTGTTTATCTTACAAAATGTAAGATGAACAAAGTATTAATTTTGAATGTTAATATCAAACCATTCTGGTTTGAGAAGTAAAACAAACTTTCAGGAATTGGGGAAGATATGACTGAAAGAATGCTGTGCTTTTGAAATGGCAGAATATATTAATAAATGCTATTTTTAAACCATTCAGAGAATATACAGCCTTTAATTAGGAAATTATACAGTAGTTAAATATTACGAGCAATTAACATTGTCACAATGTCGGGCTTCCATTTTTAATTTATTTAACTTAAAATATATGCTCTCNCAATGTACGTTCTTTAAGAAAGTTCTTAAATATTTAAAATTATTTATATATTGTCATGGAAATAGAAAAATATTATACATAAAAACAATAATAATTATAGTCATAATAGATTAGTAATTATTCTATGTTTCTCTTCAACCTACAGTTGGCGGGCATGAGAGAAACATTGTCACAATGAATCCACTGGTAATCCAGAGGCTTTGCGTATCGGAGAATGGAGATTTCGGCTTACAGGATCTCTGAAGAAAATCTACCTGAAAAGTTATGCGCTAACATGCTCATAAAAATCAATTAGAGCAATATTTAAAATGATAAATATTGCACTTAGTATTCACATCCAAAGATGAAAATTCAGAAGTTAATAAGCTTTCGTGTACTAAAAGTGAATAATAATTGGTTAACTTCTAACTGAATCTTCAACCTTGGTTGTGATTACCATCGTTAAAGACCTAGAATCTTCCTTTATTTCTTTTAAGTAGTCTCAAAACCAAATGCATATTGTATTTTGATCAAATGTACGTATTTGTAAGCGAGCATAACAGCTGGAACCAACTAATAAATAATTATCTGAAAGTAAATATGGGAAAATGCCTTGTGTCTCATATCAGATAACAAACTATCATATTTACACGTACTTGCAAACATTTTCGTCAACAGCAACGAATTTGACCTTCTGATTTTCATAAAGCCATATAAAATAGCTTATAATCCACTTTTATAAACTAGAATTAGTATAAATATAATATATAAAGTTACATCATTGNTTATTTCAATTCAAAAATTTTCGACAGAAAGGAGTTAGATAAATGACCGGCAGGACTCTATTGCTAACAGGAAAAGTATGATGTACAGGGACAAGTCACTATTAATTTGAGGAGGAGAGCATATATAGTTTAAATTAAATAAATTAAAAATTGCAGTCCGACATTGTGACGATATCACAATGAATAATTGCTTGTTTTATTATAAAACATCTGAAAATTAATACTTTGTTTATCTTACAAAATGTAAGATGAACAAAGTATTAATTTTGAATGTTAATATCAAACCATTCTGGTTTGAGAAGTAAAACAAACTTTCAGGAATTGGGGAAGATATGACTGAAAGAATGCTGTGCTTTTGAAATGGCAGAATATATTAATAAATGCTATTTTTAAACCATTCAGAGAATATACAGCCTTTAATTAGGAAATTATACAGTAGTTAAATATTACGAGCAATTAACATTGTCACAATGTCGGGCTTCCATTTTTAATTTATTTAACTTAAAATATATGCTCTCCATCTCAAATTAATAGTGGCTTGCTCCTGTACATCATACTTTTCCTTCAACAATAGCGTGCCGATAATCTATCTAACACCTATTAAGAGAACATTTTTGAATTGAAATAATGTCATTCGGTTTGCATTGGAAGTTTGTTTAAAGTTAATTGGGGCCTCCTGCTCTTAAGGTTTCTGTATGTGGTCTCATCTTTCATATATCTAACTCTTTAGATTAAGAAAAGATAGACAAAGGACTACAGTGGGAATTTATAAGTTATAGGTATATTTTATTACATTGTAGCCCAAAAATAATGTTAGTCTAATTGTTGTGACATTTTAATGGGTTCTCTTACAGAATAAGTATTATTATAATATACTTTATTACAATAGTTTTATTATAATAATAATTTTTAATTAATAGTAATTTTAAGTGGATTATTTTTCAATTGACAAAAGATTTTTAAAATTTTAATTACCTTTCCGAGGATACATGTTTGATCTGCAGGACAGGGACAAGAAGCTTCGTAAATTTCCTTTTCTTCGTCCAGAAAATTTCCTCCATTTGGATTACAATAACCGCCTGAAATAGTTTAATCATTAATATAGTAGTAAATATAAATTATCTGTGATTGGGTGCACCTATAACACTATACTTATGGAATCAAAATCATGTATAAACACAGTGTTTGATTTCCATAACGATAGTGTTATAGGTGTAGTCTAACTACAAAATACCGTATAAGTAGTAGTGGTTTGACACAAACTGATCACAAAATTAATTTTCAGATAAAAATTTGAGTAGCACTGATTACAAATTTGAATTAAATTAATTTTATTTTAACAATAAGTTTAATATATTCTGTTTAATTAGTAAATTTATTATACAATTAAGTTGTACTAATTTGTAATAATAATTTTTTAAATTAGCAATCACAAATGTTAATGAAATTAATTATCAAATATTTTTAACAATTAATTATTTTTTCTAAGCGAATAGGTGTCAGATTTCTTCTAAATCACTATATGAACTAATTTTTGTTTTCATTATAATCGTGCTCTATCTGAATTATTTTATAGATCCGAGAAAATTAAAACATGACAATTGTGATTAAATAAGTTTATTTTATTTAAGTTTTTTCGTTCACTTGTTGCAAAAATATCTCATGTTTTAGATAAAGTGCAGTAATAAGTTTTTAAAGTCNTAAATTAATTTTATTTTAACAATAAGGAAAGTTTAATTTGCAATAATTTCAAATAAAAAATCTTTCATCTAAATAATTGTAGTAACAGTTTTTAAAAAGATTTTTTTTATGTGTCCACCTTTAAATAAAACTAATTAATTATACGTTGTGAAATAATTTAATAACTTTTGTAAATTACTATGTTCAATCCAACCAGTTATATCCGATGATTTTTGTCTATAAAATTTAATTCATGAATTTTTTTGCTAGTAAAATCGACTTGTTATTGATCTTTCGCTGATAATTGATTCTTTTTAACAGAATCTATATAAATGTCTATTACAGCTTCTATAAGACTGTATAATATTTTTATGGCCAACTGTCAATAACTTGAAATGCTTCAAAATCTATTAGCATCGCATTCTGTAATTTTATATAAATAAAAATTACGATTAGTATTATTTTATATTTAATANCTTATATCCGATGTTTTTCATCTATAAAATTTAATCCACAAATTTTATTGGTAGGAAATCGACTTGCCATTGATCTTTCGCTGATAATTGATACTTTTTAACAGAATCTATATAAATGTCTATTACAGCTTCTATAGGACTGTGAAACGTTTTTATAGCCACTGTCGATAACTTGAAATTCTTCAAAATCTATTAGCATCGCATTCTGTAATTTTATATAAATAAAAATTAGGATTAGTATTATTTTATATTTAATAAGAAAATAACGAAAAGATTTCATATATAAATGTTTTTTACTGACCATATAAAATGTTCATTGATATACTAAATGTCTGGTCTTTTTATTTTTGATATTATCAATCAATAATCTTTATTTGTCGTAAAAGGCTTTCGCCTGTTACAAGGGCGTTTTGTTTTATATAAACGCGTATTAATTTAACATCACTTATAATCTTTTCTTATCAACATTATTTAATTACATTAATATTTTGTAAATTGTTTNATAGTTCAATATAATAATTATTTAAATTATATTTGTTACTTATTTATAAAATATCGCAAAAAGAAGAAAGTTATCTTTTTAATAATTTTTGCGGCAACAATTTTTTAAATATTATTTGATCTTTGACACCGAAGAAGTTCGATATCTAAATAATTGTAGTTCCAGTTTTTAAAAAGATTTCGTTTTTTTTCTATCTGTCCACCTTTAAATAAAAATAATTCGTTATACGTTGTGAAATAATTTAATAACTTTTGTAAATTACTATGTTCAATCCAACCAGTTATATCCAATGGTTTTTTGTCTATAAAGTTTAATTCATGAATTTATTTGCTAGTAAAATTCACTTGCCATTGATCTTTCGCTGATAATTGATAGTTTTTAACAGAATCTCTATAAATGTCTATTACAGCTTCTATAGGACTGTGTAATGTTTTTAAGGCCAACTGTCGATAAATAATTTCATGCTCTTTCACTTGAAATGCTTCAAAATGTATTAAAATCGCATTCTGTAATTTTATATAAATAAAAATTAGGATTAGTATTATTTTATATTTAATAAGAAAATAACGAAATTTGATTTGATTTACAATATAAATTTTTAAAATTTATATTGCAATTGAATTGAAATAAAACTTATGTTTTTAAAATTAAAAAAATTTAGTTACTAAAATGAAATGAAAGTAAAAGGTTATAAAGTGTAAGAATTTAATTCAAACTGTACAGTAGCAATAATAATAATATTAAAAATGTGTCCTTCTTCAAATCAAATTTAAACTGTGTGATCAAACAAACTCATTAATCTCTGAATTACTATATGGTTTATACTAAACCATAATTTCTTTCAAATAATATTTATTTAACTGATAAACTATAATTAAAGATATTAAATTTATAAAATGAAACTCTGATTAAACACATTTTTGGTTTTTTTTTAATTATGAACTCATAAAATAATTTAAATCGAGGTGAGATATCAATAAACTTTAAGAATAAATTTTACAACAATAAGGTAATTTATTTTAAAAGCAACTTATTTAATTAAGTTAACTAAAAACATAATAAAATTGTAACACTATCTGTATTAGTTTAAACCATATAATAATTCAAAGATTAATGAGTTTGTTTGATCACACAGTTTAAATTTGATTTGAAGAAAGACACATTTTTTAATATTATTATTATTGCTACTGTACAGTTTGAGTTAAATTCTTATTCTTTATAACCTTTTACTTTCATTTCATTTTAGTAACTAAATTTTTTTTTTTAATTTTAAAAACATATGTTTTATTTCAATTCAATTACAATATAAATTTTAAAATTTATATTTTTACAGATTTCACATTAACAATTTGATAAAATGGATGAAATAATCAAATCAAATATTTTTTATTTGTATTAAGGCTAAGCCTTGTTACAGGGGGTATTTTTCCAATGATATATTAATATACATTTGTTAATCAATCGTTCAATACAATTTGTTAATTAATCGTTTAATATACATCATCTTCAAAATCATCAATATTATTACAATAACTGTTTAATAGTAAATTCTGTCATAAAAAAGATAAATATCTTTTCAATATTTTACTTTAAGTAACATAGTCAATAAAAATCGATTTTAGTTTTATTAATTTATTACATATTTTTTAGTTCTTTAACGATTTAATTAAAAAAAACCATTAATACATTTGATTTAACATAAGGCTGTTTAAATTTAGTTCCAAAGTCTTGATTTTGCCTCTTACATATTAGTTTTTTAATTTCATATTTTTTGATGATATTTCTTTAGTCCTTCACAATCTCTTAGTAAACGGTTCAAAGAATGGTCTCTGGAGTTAAAATCACCTAATAATAATACATATGGAGAGATATTTTTCCATTTTTTGAGATTTCTGAATATTTCATTTATTAAATCTATCTGGTCAGGCTGAACGTAAACTAACACCATAATAATTAACTTTTTGTATAAATGTTTCATTACAGTATTATCAATTTGTAATAAGATTAGAATATAATTAATTGCTTTTTGTATAAATTTTATGGAACCAATGTTTATTCTTACTATTAGACAAAGTCCTCCATGTGGTCTCCCAGGTCCTATTGGTTTCTGTGTGTCAGGAGATATAATTGTATATTCCATTCTATTTTTTAAAATTTCATTAACTGGTGTGACTAGCCAGGATTCAGTTATACCCAAGATATCAGTGTTATATAGTAGTTGAAAGTAATTTTAAATTTTTATTTTGTGGATTAAGACTTAATCCATATATCACAAACTGGAACTGTCAAGATTATTTAAAATTTTAATATGTTGATCCTTTTCACATTCTAACTCTTAATTAATTATGTTATTGGGTTTTTCTGTAAGAATACTTCAAAAAATCATCAGCGTATACCAATTGATCTTGGATATAACTATATGTAATTTTTTGACGATTGATTATCAGATAGTCATCACGCAGTTTTAGTTGTAATCCTTGTTTCTTAAAATCTATATAATATTGTAAAAGTTTTTTTTCTTCTTTTGCGCGAATCTTTATTTAAATCAGTTGACATATTAATTTCTTGCCAATTTCCCAGTGTCTTATTATATTTCGATTTATTAAATGCTGCAAGGATTCTATTTCTTAGTTGGTTTGATTTTAATATTATGCACTTAATTTGAATATGTGAATTAGGTATTGAATATATATTTACTATATCTTCTGATTCGCTGCAAATTATTTTTAAAGTATTAGAAAAAAATGTTGCTAATTCATTTTTAGTAATATTTTTAAGCTGATTTGTATAATCATAAATTATAATTTTATTATTATTCATAGTGTTAGTCATAGTATCCAGTTTATATTGAGTTAATTCATTTTCTAGTCTTAGTTTGGTAAATTCATTTTCTATTTTATCGTTTCTTATCCTTATTTGTTGAATTTGATCTTTAAATTCTTTAATTTCATTTTGAATTATATTAATTTCTTGTCTTATAAGTGAAAATTGACTCACCAGCTTATCATTACTATTAGTTATCAGTTCGACTATCTTCTTCCATAATTCTGCTGTTGAAATGTCTATTTGTTCCGCAGGTAATTGCTCTTGTGAGGAAGTTAAATTAATTAGCTCACCTGTTTGAAATAATGATTCGGCTCTTCTAGGTTCAGTATAATCAGTGATAAGGTTTGAATCTGGTTCCAATGGTTTAATACTATCAGTCAGCAATTTTTGACGAGTAAGTTGTGGTCTTCCTCTCTTTGTTGGAGTTTTCTGTAAGGGACCGGAATTTGGTTCTATTCCAGCAATCAATAGCAATATAATAAGAAGCTTAATATTATTCCTTTTAGTGGAAAATAATTCAAAATTCTTCATTACTTGAAAAATTAGACTAAGTATGGAAGTAGGAAAATATTCACGCCAACAGCTTTGACGATCGGAGCGCCCCCAAAAAATGGATGAAATAATCTAAATAAAGTATATAAAATTACTTGTCCTGACTGACTGACTGACTGAATGATTCATTATCGCCCAGAGCAAACCGCTGAACCTAAAGAGGTGAAATTTGGTACACAGTTAGGTTATGTCATGGCAATGCACACTAAGAAGGGATTTGTCGAAATTCTCCAGCGGGGGGAGAGGGAGAGCATTAATTAAGGCTTCACCGTAAAAACGGCTTCTACTGTACTATTTTAGATGTGATTTTTTGTTTTTATCTGCATTTAATTTTTATCGAGTACTTAGATGTATTAAATTGATAACATTTCAGATATTGTGATAGATATTTTCATATATTTCGATTTTTTAACCAAATGTTCGAACCGTTTTAAATTCGAATCTGTTATCGCATATTGGTTCGATTATAGAACGATTGTAAACGTTCCAGAAAATTGATCAAATTGAAAATAGTTCGTTTGATTCTCGGCAATTCTCATCATTCTCAGCAGTAGGTGTTATATACAGTCTGTAAAGAAATTATAAACTCATGTGAAATTTCTCTGTGTTTTAATTTCTTTTCATCCATAGTACATTGTTGCTATATCTAATGATTTTAATTAGTGTTAAGAATTTATAATGAAATAAACAAGTCTTTGTATTGTATCATTTTAATAAACAATAAAAAATTTTAATTATAAAAGTTTTTTAAAATTAAAACTTACCACAGTCAGGACTCGTTGCTGGATTTTTTTAAATTTATGCATAAGTTTTAAAAATCCAGTAACGAGTTGCTTAACTTTTCCGGCAACTTTCAGTGGCGCTATCTATTATGATATTTTCTTTAAAAAACTCTATATTTTTAACTATTACGAAATGACAAAGAGCTTAATTTGAGGTAGGGATGGGTTTTTAAAAATATTGTAAATGCTAATAACAAGTAAAATCGTCATTAAGTCCGACCCTATTGGAGATTTACACTACCACTTTATCTTCCTCACCCGTTCGACCTTTAACCACCAAAATTTAATAGCATCAATCCCCTAATAAACAAACCTCCCTACGAAATTTCGAAAATTTACAGGCGTTATTAAGCAATATACTTAGTGTATTTATAATATTAGTTAAATCTACGAATCGAACTGAAGAGGGGTTTGACAAAAGTTTTGAAATTTTATAAACAAATTAAAAGAAATTAAGCAAGAATGTAAAATTGTAACGGACACTTTGTACCATACATGTGATTGGTCGAGTTGCCAGTGGCGCGAAGCTATTGTTCGTTGGATTATGACTAAACGCCCNTTTGTAATTTTAATTTATTCGACAGTAATTTACTCAAATAATTAATTTTGCGATCAGTATGTGTCAAACCACTACTACTTGTATAATAATTCGTTTATAATTAGTGATTATGGCATTCGTGGAAATTGGCCCACTCGCTCCGTTCGTTTGCCAAACTTCCATTCTTGCCATAATCGCCTGCATTATATAGACTTATTGCATAATATACTACTGTATTATAAAAGTTTAAGAATAATTTACCTGTTATAGGTCTTTTCATGCAGGTTTGATGACCTGCAATGCTAACACAGCATTCTCTTCTTCTACATTCTGATCCGTCTTCGCAAACTTTCACTATGGTGGAATCTACCTAATTGTTTTAAAAGGATTAAAACATTGTTAAAAATATAAATATAAATGCATAAATATGATTATTTACACACCTGTATTAAAACGAAAGCGCTCAGTAAGAGTAAATATGCAAACATGATGAATGTCCTATGTATAAAAACTTTTTGAGTGTTTTTACGTACTTTACACGCTATTTATAGCTTATTCATTTAAATATTACGTAAATTATTACGTATGTTAATTTTATCTTCTTTTCATTATCGACAATATCTTATTAACAGTATTGAAATATAATTTATTGTTTTGCTCTAAATTTTTTTATTTACAATGATGTAACTTTATATATTATATTTATACTAATTCTAGTTTATAAAAGTGGATTATAAGCTATTTTATATGGCTTTATGAAAATCAGAAGGTCAAATTCGTTGCTGTTGACGAAAATGTTTGCAAGTACGTGTAAATATGATAGTTTGTTATCTGATATGAGACACAAGGCATTTTCCCATATTTACTTTCAGATAATTATTTATTAGTTGGTTCCAGCTGTTATGCTCGCTTACNAGTGTTACAGAGTATAATACGTATATTTTAATATATTTTTTAAAAGAAACAAAACCGCTGAGAAATGTTACGTGTGTTTAACAACGGGTTCGGAAAACTTTGAAAATGTTAACAACGGGTTCGGCCGAACCTGTGCGAACCCGCTGAATATCACCACTGAATATAACATACTTTAAGCTTGTTTATTTTGTTAGTTATGACAACGCAACTCTTGGGCGATCAGCCTAGGAGGATGCTTTCCGGGAGATCTTTTTAGGTGTTAAAGACGTGGAGAAAACCGGAAAACCCCAATTTTTATGAATTGATTCGGAAGACCTATTCGGTCTACTGTTCTTTCTTTTATGATTATTGGGATAAACTAACAGCCTACATTAAGATATAGTTTAGAGGTGCTTGAACACATTTAAAACCAAAACGACATATTCTCTTATTTTTCTTGTAAAAATAATATACAAACAAAAAGTCGGCAGCAGAACTAAACATCTGAAGTAACATGTCTTTTTTCTAGCTTGTAGTAGAAGTAGAAACAATTAATTTCGTGTTTTAAGTATTTTAAGTCTGGGTAAAGTATTATTCTATACAATACTTACGTTTCATGAAAACAATGTTTATCGCTCTTCAGAGATACGTAAATCTGTCAGAGATATATATAAGGAAAGCTCTCACACTAAGTGACGCTATTCTATATTAACAGTTGAATTCCCCATAATTATTGAAACTACAAGATACGTCGTTCTACGCAGTATGTCATTTTGGACTGATTTCCCCTATAATTTTAAGAACGTATGCTAAAAGACGAAATTGCCTGAATTAAATTTTAAAAAATCTATAATCAATCTTATGAAAATTTTCAGTTTTCTATATGGATTCCAATTATAAGATAAACCCACGTAAGTATTCAAATGTATTTAATTTTTTATTTCTCTAAAACAAGCAATTTTATAGAACATTCTGTAATGTTCTATATGTTTGTTACGAGAATACATTTTTATCAAATAAATGAGACGTCTTTGTAATCAATTAATATACAAACTGATACAAAGGTTTTACAGAATCGCATGCTTTTATCATCTGCTAACGTTTAAGACTCAAATCATTTTCTAATTCACATAAGACAATAGTTATTTATATTACTTAATTTGAATGATCGAAATTTACATTCAATATTTAGTAAAATATAAGACAAATTTATAAATTTATTATTGAATCGAAAATATGAAAATTTATCATTTATGTTTTATTAAATGTTTTTATAAATTTCTTTGTTACTAATTTATCGCAAAAATACATTACTGTACTATCTTAATGACAAAAGAAAGGAGGAATAATTTGAAATTGATTAAACGTTTAAATAAATAAACAGACATTTTGTTTTTCTGCCAAATTTCAACAATTCGATATATAAAATTATACAATAGAAACTCGATTATCCGAACTCGTTGGCACCAAGGGTGGTGCGGATAAACAAAATTTCGGATAATCTAGAAACGTGTTTTTGTACTTTGGGTACATCAAGCACTATATATGTAAAGTTTCACGAACAATATAAACTGTAAGACAATTATTGTATTTGAAAGTAAATTAATTTACTCAAAATCTAGCGTAATTTTACGCATACATGACCTAGATTCGAAGCGCTACAATCCAGAAATGTATGCAGTGGCTACTGTACAGATGTAGTGATAACCGTTATGGAGAGTTCGGTTTCTGTTTACTCTGTTTTTAACCATTTCCGATAATCGAGCTTCTATTGCGTACATATTTGTATTTATTCATAAGTGTTTGAAAACGATGACGATTCGTACAGAAACTTATTAAAAAGTAAGAAACATTTTATGGCGAGAGATGTATGATAGATTATTTCATGGATTACATTAGTATGGTAGATTATTTCATGCTGTATAGTACTTAGCCATTTTGATATCGCGTACATATGAAGTTCTTCGTTTACTTCGTTTTAATGAAAAACTATATTAATTAAAACGACATACTACTTACTTTTACATACATTAAATACTTTTCCATAAACACAAAATATGTGGCATTTAACAAAGATATCGACAATTTCCAGTTGAAGTTCTAAACAAATTAGCGAGATTCCGGCCGAAGTTTTCATCTCTAAAACGTGACTGTCGAACGTCGAGCGCGCTATCTTGTAAGTGGCGCTCGACGGTCGACGTTCACGTTTTAGAGATGTAAACTTGGGCTGAAACCTCACTATTAACATTATTCCCTGAATGAGATATGCTTGGTAGAATAATAGATATATTTTTGTATATAATTCTCATATATACGGTACTTGGATTTTTAACTCTTTTCGCCCTGTGTGCATTAAGAGGGCCTCTTTTAGCAAGCCCATTATGGGTTCGGCCAGGTCCAAATGGGGCGGCCGGGTGGCGAGGAACAGGGCCCGACATATCCGGACGGACCATCCCCTGAAAAATTCATGGGGATTTATCAATCCGTCCGGATTCGAACCCGGTCCCCCAGAGCGGTAGGTTGCCACTGACCGTTCGGCCATCCGATAATAAAAATTATATACTGGGTTCATGATGTTACCGTGTCTCTTATTAGCGAGGTTGCGGCCGAAGTTTTCAACGCGAAAACGTGAACGTCGGACGTTCACGNACCGCAGGGTCAGTCACTTTTTGGTTTGGTCTCTGGTTGTGAGGACGTCGATCAGTGCGAGACGCAAGAAGAACGAAGTTATACCCCAGAATAGATTTGAACCTTGGGGTACGAACTCATCACTTTGAACTTGTACCTGGCTAAGATTCCCGTTAGCCGTAACAAAAATTATAATTATATTTTAATTATATTATATATTAAAATTATAATTATTAACCAGTTAGATGTCAGATATTTTTAGCTATTCTTTTGGATTTTAGATATTTTGAGAGACATCATACTGAACACAAAGGAAATAAACATATTGAAATAACAAGAAGTTTGATTGTTATTTCAATTGTGACCATGTTGCCAGATTACTTTAATATACAGATGCTTTATACAAATTTGGCAACTCTAGTGATCACAGTCTAATAGACCGGTGGCATGATGGTAAAGGACAGTCTTTAAGACTGTGTTCAGATGTCAGCAGTAGCACAGTGGGGTTCTTTGCTTTCCTCCGCTTAGAGCACATATTTTTAACGTTTCAGAATACAATTGCCAAATATGCCAAAAGTTAAGCAGTATGAACAAAAATTTTGAAAAGATTGGCTTCATGATGAGACAATTAAAAACTGATTGATGGCTGTTCCTGGAGATGCGACTAAGGAACATTGCAAGTACTGTAGGTGTGATTTGAAGGCGAAATTACAAGATTTGAAGCAACGCGCAGTGTATAAAAGCATAAAATTTCTTTGTCATTTAGAGTTATGACATCACTGACAAGTTTTATGACATATACTAATCTGTTATTCTATTACATCAAGTAATATTAAAGACATTCTTTTTGAGTGGTTAGATGACTTACAAAAATTAACATTCAGGTGGTTAATATTTCATTAGATCAAGATACTTTAAATAGGAAGATATTTGAGAAAACTCTTAATACAACATCTAATTTAACCTTTTATTTTAAGGAATGGATCCAAGATTTTTTTCATGTATGATATTTAATAAAAAGTTCATTAAAGTAAATATTTATGCTTAATCTGTCAGGTGTAAACTTGAATGAATTAGAATAGTTTTTCTAACTCGTTCAAGTTCAGAATCACCAAATACAGTGGTACCTCAGGATACGAACGCCCCAGCATACGAAATTTTCAGGATACGACATGAAATTCGAACATATTTTTGCTNATCCCACATAGTTTTGTTGCTTACTTCTATGTCGTATTATATACTTTAAACTGTATTAAAAAATATAGTGATCTTACTTTTTACATGAATTTTATCGGAAAGACAACATCTCCATATTCCAGGTCGTAAAAGTGGAGATCTACAATATTAACAAAAGTTAAATTATTTTCTATCATATAAAATACAGATATAATAATTAATACAAGTTATTTAATAGTGATCTTATAATGAAAACAATTAATCTGAAAATTATTAATTATTAGCGAGGTTGCGGCCGAAGTTTTCAACGCGAAAACGTGAACGTCGGACGTTCACGTTTTCGCGTTGAAAACTTCGGCCGCAACCTCGCTAATAATTAATAATTTTCAGATTAATTGTTTTCATTATAAGATCACTATTAAATAACTTGTATTAATTATTATATCTGTATTTTATATGATAGAAAATAATTTAACTTTTGTTAATATTGTAGATCTCCACTTTTACGACCTGGAATATGGAGATGTTGTCTTTCCGATAAAATTCATGTAAAAAGTAAGATCACTATATTTTTTAATACAGTTTAAAGTATATAATACGACATAGAAGTAAGCAACAAAACTATGTGGCATTTCATTAGACTTACATTTATATCAGTCAAAAATGAAAGGATTGTAAAGAGAGTATACAGGCAATAAAATAATTCTATACATTAAGTACTTTATTATTTATTACTTTTCTGACATTTATAGAATGTAATTTAGGAAAATTATTGTGATCGATAAAATTTTGATCCCTGGTTATTTGCATTTATCGACGTTTTAACACTCTCACTAATCACATTTTGTGAAAGGAAAAGCCATTGAAATCGTTAGAAAATTGCAATGTTTCCTAGAAAATTTATCATTTAATAGTTATATGGAATGTTTTTCATTATTTCAATAATATTCATTTGTAGATTAATATGAGTTGCGCTTATTTAATACAACTCTAGATAAATAAAACAGAAAAAGGTTTCATACATGTAAATGAATAATCATTATCGTTTACTATATTTATCAATTCCACTGATTCCAGGAAGATATATTAAATTTAGTTGCACAATTCAGTAACAGCTTTCCTCCTAATTGTAGACTAACTAGTAATATATAAGATGATTTTACAACAGTCTCGGTATTTGTTGAATGTTTTAATATAACGAGTAAAAAAGTTACAGTATTTATAAACGATGTAAGATCCGTGTTTTTAAATTGTGTTAGAATAGGTTTTATTTCTATCTAAAGTTTGAATCTTTAATAAATTATTTTAGTTTGGTTCCTTAATTAATTAAAATTAGCATTGTTCATTTTACTTTTACTATTTTCCTATTCCTTCCGCCGTCTATTATTAAAAAGAGAGTCTATTTTATTAACATTAACAACGAGGTTTTGTTTATACAAACTAATGTCGATAAAATATATAAGATTTTATTTCAATAATAACGATGGCTATTACATTTTAAACAAACTCGAACCAAAAATTCCACGCTCGCGTAACAAACTCTTCAGAACTATTAGACAACGATATCCGAGATCGATTCTTCATCTTCACGATTTTTTAACTTTTTAATTTAAATCGGGTAATTCTATTCCTTCAACAGTAGTTTCAAGCGATTCTGTTGTTACTTCTTTACTTTTTCTACATTTGTAAACCCTATCCAAAAGAGACTAAACACAACAATTAAACAAAAATTATTATCAATTATATATTATATTATTTAAGCATTACGCCTATATACTAGAATATGATGAATGTTAAATAATTTTTATCTCTAAATTATATATTTTATTTGATATCCATTTAAAATAATTTCTTCAAATCCAACAAATTACTTACTTCTCCCAGCAAGCATTCGTAACCTTCTGGACAGATACATCCTAGCTTAAATGTTTGTTTGTCAGCGTTGTAAACTCTCGCCAATGGAGAGCATAGATTCTCTGAAAATATAAAACATTACATTATAAATTTACTTGTAAATATATTTTGTAGTTTAATCTATATTAATAACTTACCAATCTTTGGTTTTCGACGACATACTCCATTTCCAAACAAAACGTGAACGCAACACTCGTTCTCGTAACAACTCTCTTGCGAACTGCATGTAAGAGCCTATAAAGTTATAAAAAATGAATATTACATCTTTTAAAACAATTAAAAAAAACATTTAAATGTGTCATACCTGAGCAGTGATAAAAAGTCCAAATGCGAAGATTAGGTATTTCAGCATTGTAAAAATCTTGCACTAGTTGTATGTAATGTAGGAACCACATCTATATATTAAAAAATTTTTATCAGTTAATGATATAATATTTGATATTTATATTTAATANTACGAACGCCCCAGCATACGAAATTTTCAGGATACGACATGAAATTCGAACATATTTTTGCTTCACGATACGAACAAAAACTCACCATACGACGTTACATTAGTTCGCATTTTTCATTTGTTTTCCTTACTACAGTTATTTTTTTAAATGTATTACTTGGCTTTAATTTGAGTATGATTTTCGCGTTGGAACGAATTATTTGGTTTTACATGTAATCGTATGGGAAAAGTTGTTTCACCTTACGACATTTTCATGATACGATCTCAGTTTCGGAACGGATTAATTTCGTATCCTGAGGTACCACTGTACTATTGAAAAAAATAACATATCTATTATAATAAATAATGAATTGAAATCAGCACACAAACAGTGTATTGCATATATTGCAGGTTTGCTAGCTAAAAAATTATGAGAAAGCACAAAGATTGCAAAAAATGTTATAATAATTTGATAAGTGATTGTGCAAATTTTCTATCAAGTGACCGAATGTTGGTTTTCTAAAGATTTAATTAGTAGAGAAAGTGGACGTATTGAAAAATTAACTGTACCTACAACTAATTGGATAAATGCCTTATATACCTGTGAACAAATTTGTAGCAATTCTATCAAAAATTTTACATTTTCACAATATCAGGAATAGTTTATTAGACTATTGTTTATCATATTAATAGGGATTGGTTTACAGGATGTAGACATATTTAAAATATAAAATATATATTGGCCTATATAAAATATAAAAGGCTTATATATTGTGAGAAGCGTGGGGTAGAGCGTCAAACTCTAAATCCCTTTGGTCGGCGACGGGTTGGTAAAACCCGATCACGTTGTCACTAGATGGCTGTATCAAAATAGGTGTATAAATCGAGTGGGGAGGGTTAGCGAGGTCGTCGGTAAGGCGTCAGCGATACACGAGTAAGAGCAGCCATTTTAAAATATCAACAAGTTTAATAAACCTAAAAGGTTACAAACACAAATCTAGGTGCGAGGAATACAGTTCCCTCAATCTTGTTCAAATCACTCGAGAGCGTTTTTTCTATCAGGCGAGCGTTATGCCTACCGATAACTATCTATCCGCCTGAGAAAGAGAGCGTACAGAAGATCGGTTATTTATCATGCCTCTGGGCAGCAGAGGATGTAACCTCGTAGGCTAATTATCCAGAAAAGACCGGGCAGACGCTTGGTACGACACATACTCTTCACGTAGTCTATACTAATATTATAAAGAGGTAATGTTTGTAAGTATGTATGTATGTATGTATGTAAGTTTGCAGCAGGTAATCTCCGAAACTACACATCCGATTTCAAAAATTCTTTCACCAATATTTAGAATGGAACCTCAGAGTGGACATAGGCTGTATATTATTCCGTTAAACATTCATATAAATTAAAATATATAATCTAGGTTAATTTAAGGCTTTTATGTCCAACAGATGGCGCTACGAGTACGACGCCCTAAGTTTGCTTTTCTGTGAGACATTATGCTTTTCTGTGAGGATGAACTAAAGCAGATCATCTTCTATCTATCTATATAAATAAAAATGTAATGTTCGTTTGTTCCTACCGATTCTTTTGAAATTTTGACACAACGCTGCATTCGAATACGCGCGTGTTTTTATATAATATACGTGTCGAAATTCCCCCACTGAAGGGAGATGGTTAGGATTAAGGCTTACCGTAAAGAACTCTGCTTCTATTTATACTATTTTAGATGCGGTTTTTTGCGTTTTATAGGGTACGTCAACAGAATGTACAGTACACTAAGAAGAAATTTTTCGAAAAATTCCCCCCCCACGGGGAAGTGTTATAAATTTATAATAGATACATTTTGAGCCACAACAACGCGTGGCGGGGTCTGCTAGTTAATGATAAATCCATAGGAACTTGCTGGCGTTTGAAGGAGACAACTCAAAGTAGAAAGGTTAGCTCCTTGTAGAACGATCGCCCCCGATGAATGGGGTTATATCCCCATCCGGTGTGGAAATTTAGTCAGGTGATCGTCTCTAAAATGCGCCTTTTCGTTAAAAATTATAGAAGAACGGCCTCTGGATTCTCACAATATTTTGTTTCATTTTTATCATTTGCGTGCGTAACGTGCGTAATGTATACTACACTTATAAGAATAGATGCATTGAAACTGAGCAAACAAACACGTGTTTATCTTCAAGTAGTCATTACGAGCATCATTCTTTAATTTCAGAAAAATTACAAAACCGCTAAGAATATTAAATACGCTCAGTGTTATATAAACGCTCAGTGTTGATACAACTAATTAGGTATATTTTTACATACCACGATTGATATACTAATAAATTTTTAAAATACGCATGCCGAATTGATTTTCCATTATACTCACCATAATTTTGATTTACCAATTAGAGTCAATTGAAATTTTATGGCAAATAAAATTGACACAAAATATGCTAATAATATTTGTCATAAAATTTCAATTAACTCTAATTGCAGAATGCTATTTTTACATTATCGCATGGTAGAGTGTCCATAGATAATTGGTTTATATAACATTCATTTTCAATCAGAACGCCATTATTTTTCGCGTTCTAAAACGGAAATATAGCTTTACCATGGACTCTACAACAAAAAATATGCATGACATGTTTTCTTTCTCCATGCTCGACAACTGCCCTTATATATGGATTAGATTTAGTCGAAACCTGTAAGTGTGATAAGAGAAATAAAGCATTTATAAATACGAAATTGAAGAATATCTACATTCGATTCGTCAAACTGTCTTTATGGCAATATACAACATTACTCATATGGCTAAGTATCCCGAGTTTGGGTGAACGTGCAATATGCAATGGATGGTATGATGTATTTAAAGTCGATTCCACATTATTTAAAATACCAATTTCTATTCTATTTTTCGTTTATTGCATTATTTTAAAATTCATCGAAAGCAACAAAGTGAATTTGAAAGGGTCGTTAAGAAACGAGTACTTCTGTGTGAAAATGATTAACGAAAATAATGTCCTAATCAGAAATGTCACTCTGCTCGTTTCTACAATTATTATAGTCGCTATTATTTTATATGATATCACTGTCAACTTAATCATCTATCCTTACATACAAAGAAAGCAGAAATTTGTTGGCGAAGCTCTCTTCTGTAGTATCCAAACTTGCTTAAATACAAGTTTTATTATTGGAGGAATTGGTTATACTTTATTTATAATGGCTTTGTTATTGTTTATTGCTTATAAAGAATACGAGCAACTGTCTTGGGAACTGTTTGCAATAAAGAGAATCGATACAGATTTAAAAAGGAAACTAAACGAATTAATGTTGCATCACGAAAAACTTTGGTTTTTTGTGCGACACATTAATACCAGATACGACTTCATATTTGAAATTAGTTACTTTGGTATACTTTGGTTGACAGCGTTTTCCTACTATATATTTTTGTTTATTGAAGTTCATTATTCTATAAAATATTTAATATTTTCATTGATGATAATAGCCACATGCATTTGCATAATATGTGGCTGTGTTCTGTGCTCACTAGCGTTTACGGTAATTATAAACTTTGTATTATAATGATCTACCGTTCTTTTAATCAGTTTGTTTTTTTTTTCCTCCTGCAGATGGAGAATACGTTTCAAGACATCAGAAAATTTGTAGCATGTAACATTGGCCTGAAATGGAAGATAAAGGTGTGTAGTTTTTATGGTCATTTATTAAAAAGCCTCCTAACATTGCTAATAATACTTTCAGATTTTGAATTTCATGAAAAGATTTGGAAAAGTACCTTTGTCTCTTTCAGTAGGTGGAATTTTGGTCGTAGATAAGAAAATTCCATTGAAGGTTGTCATTATTTTTTGATTATATAATTATATACTTTTCAAACAACTTTTCCGAATGCGTTTGATAACCAATTAAATTTATTTTTCAGATGGCGAGTACATTATATTCTATTTTTTCTACTTTCTTAAAAGTAAGAAAGATTTTAAACGTGGAACAAAACCGTGTGCAGATTTATGAAATGAATTGCACCATCACAACTTAATTAAATCTTCACAAAATATTTCCTACAGAAGTATGAAATTATTGTTAAAACTGTTGATACAGAAGTCATACAATGATACATTCTGAAATAACATGACCACTTGCTGATTGCTCTATGAAATTATCTATCTTGTAGATTCTTCAACAGCATTACGGGAAATATTTATAATAAGTCAAAACGCGTAAATTATAGAATAAGGTTAATATTATAATTTATAGATACTCAGTTTAAAGAAACGTTTAATATACTAATTAAATAGCGTAGTGTGTGAGTTGATTTTGGCATATTTCAGCGCTACACAAGCCTGAAAATGTCTGAAATTATGAGTACTGTACTCGGACCATGCCGTACTTCCTGGTGTAACACTTTACTAGTGTGAAGCCAGAGACAAGCAAGATTATTTTTATAAAAGTAAAGAGATGATAATCTCTTGAACTGTAAGATGGATACTACAAAACATCACAATCAAAAGTACACAGACTTTGTTTGGACTATATATTGGACTATTGTTGGCATCTTTAATCTTTGAGTGGCAGAGCTATGTCTCAAACCGATCGTTAAACAACTAAATGTAAATTTTCACTTAGCCTAGCAAACGTTTTAGGATCACCTACTGGATAGTAAAAGGTTTTTTATTTTTTAGAAATGTTCACATGAAGAGATAAAATGTTGATTTCCTTATCGTACTGCTTTCACAAGAACGTGTGAAAGCAGTATGATAGGCAGATACGACCGTAAGAAATTTCTTCGAGAAATATGCATTACCCAATGACTTTCACATAATACCATAGCAGCAGAAATTTCTAATTAAGTAGTTGCTATTTGTTATTAATTATCATTACAGATGTAAATAAAACACTTAGAATTTTACAAATTTCACGTTTATAAAGTAATCTTTTTATTTGGCTCCTTCTTCA